CATTTTCAAGATAAAGTGAAATTATTATAGAAATATATAACAACGGCTAATAATAATGAAAATTTCTTTTTGTACACGCCAAGGTGTACATAGGGGTGGTCCGGTGGACATGGTTCAGTTTGGTTCCCGTTTCGGGTCGAGACCAGACGGTCTCTAGCAAATCAATGGGAACCTAGGACCAGTCCGAACTACACCAGTTCTGAATTGGGTCGAGTAGAACGATCGGTCTAGTCCGGATTCCGAAGGTTCCGAGTTTATTTTCAACCTATTCTTATAGTAGTTTAATATAAATTACTTATATATGACTTCTTATTCGGTTGATATAAAAGTTGGATAATATTTTCAAGTAACTTTTAGTTTTCAACCAATTGAGTTTCAGATGATATATTTTCCAAGCCAAAAGCTGGATAATATTAACCCTTTTAAGTAAAACAAAGAATGATTGATAGGTTCTATACTGATACGTTTCATCTTTCGGATCTTGAATTGATAATTAATCTATCTTTTGGATCCTGAATTGATAAAATTTCTATAAAAAAAGAATGATAGGACAATGTTTATACGGAGTATTATTGAGAAAAAATGGTATATGCGTCTAATGTATGTACTATGTAGTATGCTTAAATATTGAGCTTTGCACTTGTACCCATTTTTATACCAATCCTTATATACGGTGTGTGAGAGGACTTTTTTGTCTGTTAATCATGTTCACAGACAACATGTTTTGTTTGTCTGTGAACGAGGTTCTAGTTCACAAACAATAAAATACTTTCTCACAGACGGTGACTATAAGGGTGGGTATAGAAGTGAGTACAGATAGAATTTTTCTTAAATATTTGATGGTTAAATATTAGAAGTGAGAATGAATCTTGTGTATTCATTTCCACATCTAATGGCTCAAAATGAGCCAAAAATGCACTAAATTCGATCAAAATCGCGGTGACAATTTCATAAATAAACCACATTTTTTCGCCAACGCGAAAAAGTGCAACAGAAACACGAAAACGTGCAAGCGAAACATGCATGAAAAAGTGCATATCTTCGCATTTTGCACGAGAAGAGGTCTTTTTATTTGAACTCTTCCCTATATATAAGGGATGATTCAAATACAAAGAGCTCTTCCTTATATATACTCAAGTAGGTTGGAGAATCAAGTATTATGATAAGAGTATATATGAACTTTTAATTTTTAAAGTTCATATTTACTCGAGAACTTGATTTTTAAATTTTTTAGTCATATGGGGTGTGCATGTAAACTTTCAAAAATAGGATAGAAAGTACAATTTTGCTCCAATACTAGCGTCTAAAGTCAAATTTACCCTTTTTATCACGAGAAATAATTTGACTGCCATAACTTTTGGAACCTGCCTCCGAAGACAGATTACTATACAAAAGTTGTTCAATTTTTCAAGTGTTGCAGTGATCCAAATTATTTGAGGGTGATATCATCGCTCAGAGATTCTTGGATGAGGTATGATCCAATTGGATTGTTCTTTTTTCTGGTTCTGCTGATTTTGTTCTATGGCGGTTCTTTCCCGGACATTGATGTTCCAGGATGATTTGTCTCTCTCGATGTGGGAAGTTATGTTGGTGTCCCAGTTAGCTTCATCTGGTTAGGGATTTCTATGTGCTTTCTTCTAGTGTGCGTAGACATCGGTAGAGGCCGTCCTCCTCTAGAGTTACCTCCGTGCCATGAACAATTTTGTGGAAAGACTTTATTTCAATTTTATTTTTCCATTTGTAGTACTTCCTCCGTTCTCTTTTAATTGCAACAGTCAACATTTCACGTTTGCCAACGCACAAGTTTGACCATTAATATCTTTCATTCCTTATTAGTAAAAAATTTAAAAAAATTCATATTTTGAAAATTTAGAATGAGAAGAATGTAACAATATTTTTTAAAATTTTAATTTATAATACATTAATTAATAAAATATAGTCAAAGTAGAATATGTGAATAGTGCAAAAAGTCCAATGTTGCAATTAAAAGAGAATGGGGGTAGTATTTGTTATTATTTTAGTTTCAGTAGATTCGATTTGGAAATTTGGACTTCTGGCATACGTTTGATAGACAATATTTCAGTTTCGATTGTTGTAGACTTTAAATTGCCAATTTCGTGTCTAGCGAATCAGGTTGATTTGTATGAGGTAGTTTATTCTTCTATTCTTGGGGCTCACAATTAGATCCGTCATAACTCTCTGGATGTGATCTTATATTTTTTCTCGATTTTAATATAAAAGCGGATCTTTTATACTTCCTCCGTTTTTAAATAAATGCAACGGTCAACATTTCACACTTGCCGAGACACAACTTTGACCATTAATATAAATGATTTTGTATTAGTAAAAAAATTTAAAAAATTAGATTATGAAAATTTACAATGAGACAAGTTTAACAATAACTTTTTCATAAAATAATATTATTACATTAATAAATAAAATGTAGTCAAAGTAGAACATGTGAATAGTGTAAAAGTCAAAGTGCATTTATTTAAGAACGGAGGTAGTATTTAATAAAAAACATGAGAAATGATTCCATTATGCACACATCCCGTTACTAATGTAGTATCCTCACTGTTCTTCACCTTTCATTCGTTCTTCATATAGTGTATTCGTTTCGTTTTTGTTTTTCTGCTATCCGAGTCTATCAAAAGCTCAAGACATTCTCTCCCAGTATGGATTGTTCTGTATGGATTCTCTTTAGAACGAAGAATGTAGAAAGTGAATGTGTATTTTGATAATTTATTTATCAATGTGTGTATAATCATAAAAATAATGAAACGTAAAAATATTTAGTAGGGAATTAGGAATGATGTGACTCACGCAAAATTCTAACCTCTCCAGTTTATCAGCCTCTACTTGTAGCCTTGTAGGGATTTGATAGCGTTTGAATGCCGTTTAAATCACATGTTTGACATTTACATAGCATAGCAAAAAGTTCGGTCTGTTTACTAGCAGAGATATTTTCCGATTTCTTTTCTGTTTTGTATTCTCTAATTTTCTGTTTTCATTTTCCAGATTTTCTATCTCCAATTTTCTGTTTAAATTTTCTAGTTTTCCATTTCCAAATCTTAAAACACGTTCACCAATTTTTTTTCACCCGGTTATGTGACCGACCAAAAGATTGAAAGTACGGTCCCGATCTGGAACTGAACCTAATACAACCCAAGTAGGGTACTCGGTCCTAGGTATAGGAAAGTCAGGACCTAAACTGGCCGATTCTGGTCGGTCACAATAACTAGTTTGACTCATTCTTTTCCCTTTACCTTATTGGTTGGCAACTCAACGGCTCTTTTGAAACTCTTCACTTTTACAAAATAATTTTAAAAAACGAGGACTGAAACGCCAGATCGTTGACCGGACCAGATACAGACTACCGGTTCATTGACTAGATCGAACAATGACCGCTGAGTCGTTGACCTGACTGTAGTGGATCGGGACTGCCCATTCGTCGACCGAACCAAACAGGTACCCGCCTGGTCGTTATCGGACCAGAAAAGGACCGTTGGGTCGTCAACCAAATCAGATAGGGACCGTCGAGTGATTGATCCGAACAAACAGGGATTGTCGGGTCATTGACCAGGCCGGACTAGGACTGTCTAGCCATCGATCGGACCAGACAGGTATCATCGGGTCGTTGATCAGACAAGACAGGGGTTGTTGGGTCGACGTTCGAACTGGGCAAAGATCACTGGATCATTAACCGGACGTGACCGCCTAGTCGTTGACCGGACCGGATAGGGACAGCCGGGTTGGAACTGACACCCGAACGGGACCAGATTCACCACTAGACGTAACTATGCAAATTCAATGCAGCGCTATTGCAGCATGCCAGCATCCGTGTTCTTCAAATTTGAGAACCTGCAAAACTCACTTCTCTAACTCATTACGAAAAATAAAGACATGTCTCATTTTTTTTTTTGAAAAACGATTTGGTAAACACATTTTTCTGTTTTTCAGCAAGTTTTTTGGTAAATACTTTTTTTGTTTACTTTTTTCAGTTTTCCATAAAACTCAAAAATACTTGTGTTAGTAAGCAGAACCTCATACTTTTCCTCTGATGCAAAGTATTTTTTAAACTTTCAGGACCACCTCTTTTCTATCAACATTATTTTCAATTGTTTTGCACATTTATGATTACCATCATTAATCTACTCTATAATATTGTTTCACATTTTGGTACAAATTGTTTTACACTAATATTACAATTTAAAAAATTATTATGTTCGCCTGATCTGAATGGATCTATGATTTTTTTAAGATCTTATGTGATTAGGATTTGAATTCTTCCGAATTGGTCACTATCTTTCTGATTTGATTTGAATTTTTTTATCTAATTTGATCTCATATGATTTTTTCAAGATCTTTCTAATAATCTAATCTGATCTCAACGTTTCAAATCTAGATACTATTTTATCTGATTGAGTGTTTATCAAAATAATTAATATTGAAATTATTATTAATAGTATTATTAAAATTATTAATATTGTTATTATTATCATTATTATTGGGCAGTATAGAGGAGTACGTCGGACCCAGCAAACTATATTGCCGTCATTATCAGCGCATCCAGTCTACATAACGTGGTGAGTGGTATATCCCGCGGGGTTAACACAACAAACCCCCTATGATATGGAAATTCAACGCACCACATGTGATTTAAAAAATGCGTCAAACCCGCTTGTATTTTAATTAGTTATGCACAAAATCTCTTCTATGAACAAATTCAATTGTCAAATAAAAAAAAATGATTAACATTTTGGTATGATTTAGAGGTTTCGACATATTTACTTACATATTCAATCAGAATATTAGGAAAAGTGGTTTCCAAATCGTTAAAATTATTCCTAAAAGGGGTTTTATGCATGATTAATTAAAACACAATGGGATTTGACGCATTTTTCAAATCATAGAGGACTAATGCGTTGAATTTCTGTATCACGAGGGAGTTTGGTGCATTAAACCCTATATCTCGCCGATAACGTGCATCCCCTCTTTCCGTCAAATTTGGGCCGACAACTCTGAGCCCATTCCGTATATATTTTTAAAGAAAAAGAATAATCATCAAAAGCAAGGCCCGTGAACCGCCCCTGTACAGTGCCGGGCCAGTTGGCCCGAACCGGTCAACGAACCGTGGACCGGGCCAGTCCGGGCCGGAACAGTGCCGGTTCAGGCCGGTTCCAGTTCACCCGGTCCGAGGCTATCCCTAATAAGAATCCCGCTAAACCCCTATCTTTTCTCTCTCTATTGATTATGGTCACTGGAAAAAAAAAAACTAAAAACCCAAAAACTGATTAAGGTTTCAGTTCCAGTCTTGCAAAGGTTAGCTTGACTAGGAGGGTAGTTCATCATCTGTAGAAGGGGGAATCAATGACGTGAAGGTTTAGTCCTCTTGTTCGTCCTGGTGCTCCGCCCTTGAGCAGTGACAAGTCCAAAATAAACCTGCACAGGATGGGGTAAAAACTAAATTAGAGCCCATTCAGTGCATGCATGGTAATTTTTCTTAAAGAGTTTTTTTTTTTTACCAAAACACCACTTTTTTTTGTTCAAATAATGTAAGACTGGTTGTATAAAATTTAGCCAACTCAGGGTGTGAGAGATAATTTGCAATGGAGCCAAAGATTCATTATTTTTTTACTTGAGATTATGATGGAATAAAGCAAAATGGCTCACTAAACTGTCTGCGCTTCTTTGTTATGAAGCAGCAGTCAGTCCATGCAATTTTGGACGGTATTTTCACTATGGGTCATCCGGAAACAGTCTCTCTGTGCTTTAGTACAGGGGTAAGACTGCGTACATCTGACCCCCTTACCCCACCGTAAGTGGGAGCATTTGCGGCACTGGGGTAAATGAAAATGAAAATGAAAATGAGGGTGTGAGAGATAATTTAAGGGTAAATATTAAATAATTACCCTTCCCTAATTTTCATCTCACTACCAGTATTATCTGAATGCCGATGGTATACCTTTTACACACGGTGCTTTCCTTTTCTGCAAGATCGCAGTTTATCAGTATCTTCTTCTGATCAACAATTGACGCATGACTCTCCATGGGCAAGTCAACTAATTTTGGACCTGCGTTTACAACAATATAATTCCAAATTGACAATCTGAGCATTTAAAGATTCAAAACTCGCATTTAGCCAAGAGATGGCGTACTCGTTTTATCTGGGTTCTTGAGGCCTTCACCAAGTCCCAGTATAGCCTGCACCAATTTGAAGGTAGAGTCATGTTAAGACCAGGTCCTAAACCTTACTTCATAAAATTCAGCCGAACACCATCTAATAATACTGTTGGTTTAAACTTTAAAGGCAGTACATGAACCAATAATCAAGCGAAATGGGTGAAAAGGTTGATGGAGAAGAAAGAGATATTTGAATAAATGGAGGATAACAAGGAGGTAGGACCGTAGGCCCCGCTACTTTCATTTCTTTCCTCCCCATTTTTTTCACACAACTGCAAAATTGAAAATTCTTCATTTGTCCCCTGTTTCTTTCCACTTCGGATCTTCCTCTTCTGTTTCACATTTTCACCTTAACCCAACAAAGCTAAGAGGCCTGTTTGTACGTAGGGTATTGGAGGGGAATCACTGGTTAAAATATTACTCCGTAATATATACAGTAGCAGGTTATTAAGTACAGTGTACAGATAAAAGGTGATTAATGATATACTGACAAATATTATGTTGATCTTTCCATTTTTCATTTTCATTTACCCCAGTGCCGCAAAGGCTCCCACCTACGGTGGGGTAAGGGGGGTCGAATGTACGCAGTCTTACCCCTGTACTAAAGCACAAAGAGACTGTTTCCCGTATGTTGATCTTTCCATTTAAATAAAATCTAAAACATGCACAGAGCAATGAAGTTTGTCATCCAAATCGCCTTTATCCAAACAGACCCAGAGTCATCACCATCATTACCACAATGCCGCAAAGGCTCCCACCTACGGTGGGGTAAGGGGTCAGACTGTGCAGCCGTCCCCTATACTAAAGCAGGGAGAGACTGTTTCCAAGAATAGACCCAAAGAGTACCAAAAAAGAAGGATCACCTTGAGGGACTGATAGCAAATCTCAAGGTCATCGTTGACCAATATATGATCAAAGAGGCCGGGGGATTTCCCTTTCTCAAGCTCTTCCTTAGCATTCCGGAGACGCTTTTGGATCTGTTCTTCGGTCTCGGTTCCCCTAAATTTAATTAATTGCAACAAACAAACAAAACCTTAAGGAAATCAGTGAAATGAGAGGAAATGAAACAGGGGTATAGAATAGGGCGCATCATAACAAGGCCTATTCCCCACCTTGCCCGAAGGCGCTGCTCAAGCTTTTCAAATGAAGGGGGGGTGATAAATATGAAAATGGCTTCAAGAGAACTAGCCCTCACAGACTTTGCTCCTTGAACATCAATGTCAAGTATGCATCTCTACACAACAAATACACAATATATGCTTTCAACATCACAAAAGTAACAATCCACTGCAGTAATACATTTCTATGTTCGTAATGCTTAAAATGGTAGGGAAAAGAAAAAATGCCAAAAAATATAATCTTGTAATTTCATAGGTCTGGTTTTGCCTTGTAAAATGCATTGGAAAATCAAATTTGATAAATACTTTCTAAAAATAGTAGAATACACTGCTTAAAGAGTTGTGTGATCGAAAGGTCAAAGTTTCAAGTCTTGGAAGCTGCTTCTTGTCAAAAATTGACGATGAAAGGCTTGCCCTCTATACACCCTTGTGGTCGGGTCTTGCGGGAACATCAATGTGCACCAGGATGCCACCAAGTGTACATATGAAATATATATATATATATATAGGGAAGAGATCAAATAAAAAGAGGTTCTCCCGTGCAAAGTGCGAACAATTGCACTTTTTCTTCACCGCGTTGCACTTTTGCGTGTTTCTGTTGCACTTTTTCGCGATGGCAAAAAACTTCATTTTAATTACGAAATTGCCAACGCATTTTTGATCGAATTTAGTTCACTTTTGGCTCATTTTGAGCCATTAGATCTCAAAATGAACGCACGAGATTAATTCTCACTTTGCATGGGAAGACCTCTTTGTATTTGAACCCTCCCCTAATATATATTAGATTGAACAAATATCTAAAATATATTTTCACTTGAACTGATTCTTTTTCTTTGCGGGAACGCCAATATGCACCGGACTACCTCCAATTGTACATGAGGAAGATATAAATATATAACTATATATGTAAAAGAGCTTGAAAAAATATCTAAAATTTATTTCAGTGTGAACAAATTCTCTTTCTTTCAAAATTTCCCTCTAATTCCATTCTTGTTTTCTTACCCCAGCAATTCCCGGGTTTCAAACAGACCCTTCATGAATCGTGGACTAAATGTTGAACTCCTACTCCAGCTTTTACAGATACAAAATACAGACACGAGTGACCAAGATTGCTTCAAACAAGTATTATACACATTGATTAACTAATCAAGACTAGAATAAAATTAACATGAAGTAAATATTTTAGTTAAAGAATAATAAGTTATAAATGCACCACACAAACCTTTCCAGAATCAGCAACCACTTCAACAGCTTCTACACTAGTTCCGTATAGATTCCCATGAACAGTGGCATACTCAAGAAACTTCGCATCCCTTATCTCTTCCTCCATTTTACTTCGTTCAGAAAAATGGTAATGAACACCATCTTGTTCCTTCACTCTAGGTGCCCTGGTAGTATGACTAACAGAAAATCCAAACATGGATGGAAATTCTTCCATTAATTTGGATATCAATGTTCCCTTCCCCACTCCAGAAGGACCACTGATAACAATTGGCCTCTCAGCATGACCTAATACTCCTTTGCTCCAGGCTACCACTTGTGTTTCAAAGTTCTTCTGCTGTTCTCTAACAAAAGGGGTATTCACCTACATATAAGTCAAAAACCCTGTATGTAAGAAATAAATTTATTCTGTTTGGTAGGAACAATCAGCTTGTTCTGGTTATAAGCAGAATAACTAGCTTTTGACTTCCTTATTTGGCTGAAATGCATTTTACACTATGCTTTGCCTTCAGAACATTCTGAAGATTCAATGGTTTCAGCCGACCAACACTTGCTATACACATAATTAGTGAACTGTGCCCATTTACTATAAAAACAAACAAAAAATACCCATATTATATAGCAAGGCTACAAAAGCTATACTACCATTCTTATAAAACACTTCCTCCATCCCCAAATGATTAGCGAGTGTACTTTTCTTGGTCAACACATTTTGGTGTTATTTACTTATTTAGGATATCAAAATTTTAAAGTTTGATACTCCGTATATTCTAATTTGGACTTTACAACTTTATAGAACTTTCATTTCTGAATATTCATCATGATAACCAAAGTTTGATATTCAAAGGACCACTGATATCAAGTTGAATATCATCAATCAAACTTAAAACCCGCAAATTGCAATCAATTTGGTACGGATAAGGACGGATGAACCAACCTCAAGAAACCAAAAGCGGTCAGAGAGGGTTGAATTCTTCATGATAACCAATATCCTTTCACCATTTAAAAGGAACGCTGAGAAGCCCTTATTAGATGCCTTGGGGGTGGTTCCCATAACAGCTGAGTTTATCCTGTAAACAGTACAAGATTTTGGTGATCCATAAAGAATTAATTATGTTGTTCACAACCAATAAACTCGCACAGAAAGCTCACCACTTTCCAATGGAATTTTCATAAATCTGAACTTCAATTGTTGACATTGGTTCATGATCAGCAACACCACTAAGCACATACTGGTTAAAAAAACATGGAGGGCAGAATGTATTTTTTACACTACGCTTTGTTCCACGCAAGTAGTAAAGAAGAAAACAGATCATGTAAAAACATCAAATCAGCATGCTATATGCATCATACTGTTTTGCTGCCAATATCAATGGCTATTTTGTTTTCCTTAGATTTTATATAAACTGCACTGTCACGATCTCCAACCCCATTTTCTGCAACAAAAGCTGGAGCTTCCCCCTATAGGAATCAGAACAGATCAGATCAAGAACTAGTAGACATCTTCTTACTTCTGCTACACAACCTCGTGGGGGTTAGGGATTTCAGTATGTAAGCTTACCATTGAGATTGAAGGTTCAACCTCAGAACTTGAAACCTGTAGAGTTCAAGGTTCCACCTGATTCAACATAAGGAATGAGGTAGACATAAGAAATCACACCCTTAATTGAAAATCCTCGACTGTATGTAAATCTTCAAAACCAGAATACGCCATTTATGCAAGTGTGAGCTTAAACATAAGAAGATTGACCTTAAAACATCAGAATCTGATTGTTTAAACAACTAAAGCCATTGCATATTGCCTTGGGAATATCTGAATCATATATACAAAAGGCGAGCATGATTCAACCCGAGGTCCAAAATCGTAGCATGATTCAAAAAAGATAACGAATGCATAAAAACGAATCAGAAAGGCGAGAAAAATACAGAAATTAGATATTCTCGGTGACTTTTTTGGCAGAAGAATGGGGGATGGGGTTTAATGGAGTTTCTGCAATCAAGAAATAATTATATTTCAAATTGGCATTAAAGTCCACAAACGGATCTTCCAGATTTCAAAAAGAAACCGACATAGGATTGAAAAAGCCAGCGGCTAAGGAAGAAGAAGAAGTAGTCGTGTGAAAGTTAACAAAGACTTGCCATATTTGTAGGCAAATGTGGGGGAGAAAAGAGTTCCGCAGGGGGTTGGTTTCTTTGTAGCGGTAGGCTTTCCCTCTTTAAACTAAGAGGGTTTTGTACCCATGTTTTTAAACCAATCATATTACAATATCAAGCCACGAGGAATGTACTCCCTCGAGAATTAACTTTTTTTTGTGATTTTTATCAATCAATTCTTGCGTACTATTTGACTTACTATTTGACTTTTGAAAGAAATTAATGTTATTCATTCAAACGTAAAAAGTGGGTGAATAGTGAAAGGTAGTTGAGACATTTAATGTAACAGGAGTTGCCTAAAAAGAAAACGTAAAAGAGTAAATTGGACGTCCCAAAAAAAAAGTGTAAATATTTAAATGAAACGGAGTGAGTATTTGCTACGGAGTATTTTTTATTTTTTTATTTTGAGAAATGTAATTCGTATTTGCTATTTAGTTCTTAAAATTTTTCAAATGATTAAAAACAGGCTTGCAGAATGGATAGATAAATAAATAAATAGTAAATATAATATTATTTACGAAATTATGATTGAGTTAAATGTATTTATCAAAATACAGTTGGTAGAAAATCTGGCTAAAGAAAGCTGCCAACTGAGTGGGCTTCTTGCTTAGATTCGGGAATGACAAGAGATAGCAACAAATGGCGTGTATTAAGCTTGGGGAGGCGGGGACCCCCAATATATATATATTTGTGTTCTGATTTCACAAAAATATATATCACAATTCATAATTTTTATTATTTTGGGCAATTTACGCCTTGCGAGCGCCGCAATCTCTCCCTAGCAGGTCTAATGTTTGGTTTTTCCTTAGCATCTAAGGTTTGGTTCTTCCGGCCGGTGAATCCCCTTCACTTGTGTCCGGCGCGGGGATTGGATTTGAGGCAGATTGACAAGAATCCTTGCTCAAGCTTGACGACATCGAAGCTAGAGTTCGGCGATCGATTTCTTCGTGAACAGGGTAGCAAGGGCATGACAACGATGAAGATGGCCGCTAGCGGTGGATTTGCTACGAGCACGGGACGAGGAGAGGTGGGCGGATTTCGAGCAAGCCAGATGACGATTGACAATGGAGGATAAATTAGAGTGGTACCAAGGATACAGCCTCCTCCTGAACCACCGCCATGGGTTGTACGAGATGTTAGAGTCCGTGGAAGTTTTCCAATTAGTTATTTTTATTCTATCATTTGGCTTCTTGTTATCATCTATGTTGTTAGGTCTGTCATTTTGTTTGGGAATTCAACTTTTTTTATGTCATTGAGTATGTTTGGATGTATGGGAACATGGATGGCTGTGTCAAGCCTACTACATGGTTAGCGATTCGCGTTGCTCTTTCAGGGGTGACCGTCTCTAAGCCTGATCATAAGGTTTACAGTCGTAGTTGTTGGGTTTTAGTTGGTGTTAGTTTTGTTTTTCCTTTGATTGATGTAATGATCTTGAAACTTATGATACGAAATAAGACTAGTTGATGATAAAAAAATTACTATATTTCATATGAAACGGATATTGTATATATAAATGTAAAAATATGTTTGAAAATACGGTTGATAGAAATTTTTAAGTTCAAAATTTTTCTAAATTAATGAAACATTAGGATTTAACTTTAGCAAAGAGGAAAACCTTATTTTCAACTCTATCAAAATAGGTATAACATATCGATCCTAAAAACCTAATCACATGCGACCGTCTCCCTTGAATAAGGGTTCTAGTTTTTGCCGTCTTGTGTGCGGCGTTTAGATTTACTCGTCCTTTGGAGCGACGATCAGATTAGCAGAGAAGGAATTGTTCGCAGGAAATTATCGTTTGAATGCTATATATGTGAAGTATATGGATATCATGTGATTATGATCTTGGTGATAATTGTATTTGAATTATATACTTGAAATATGTTTGAACGTGACAGGTGACGGTATCCGATGAGCAACACAACTATACTGTGATAATCATTCGTATTTTTGAATGTAATGGTATATCACGTTATTTGTCATGTTAGATAGTATTCGGTTGTTTAAAATATAGTTTAAAATGTCATTGGGGGTTTAGGATGGGATCGGCAACAATCGGGGTCGGTTTAGGGCGAAAAAGGACATTTTTGGCACCCAGGGAACCCCGAACCGGCGCCGGTCCAAAATAGAACTTTAGGCGGTGGAAAGGCAGGGCAACCGGCGCCGGTTGGGCCCAGACCGGCGCCGGTCCAGGCGATTTTTGCCCAAGTCGGTCAGCATCGTATTTAAACGGGAAAAATTCCCTTTTCCCCCAAAACGAACCCTTGCTCGACTTCATCTCTCTGAAGTGATCCCAAACCCTTCCTAGGCTATTTCAAGCTCAAATTAAACCTATCCTTCATCAAGGATCATCACTTGGTAAGGTTTTACACTTAACATGAAGTATTTCTATTATATTTGTATCTATAGTTCTTGGTTGGGGATTTTTGTAGGGTTGATTGATTTAGGGTTGATTCTAGGAAAATTAATGGATTTTCTTAATAATAAGGTTGTTATTGAGTTGTTGTTCATCCTTGATTGAAAACCCTTGTGAAGTTTTAAGTATTTAGCTACCCCAAAATTATACCCAATTTAATGAAAGAATTTGGGAAGTATTTTAAATGATTTGTGACAGATTCTAAATAGATACATGGAGTCCTTGATATTATGAGAGGGATTTAATAGATGATGATTCTTGATTCATGAAAATCAATCGGATTCTTAGTTATCTAGCCACCCTGAATCTTTGCCCGATTTGTTGTAGGAAAAGGGGGAGTTTTCTAACTTGTAGGGGCTGATTTGTGAACTTTCCCTCGCCTTAAATCTAAGGATTTTCTAAAGACATGAATTTAAGTTTGATCAAGTATAAACTTGTGTATTTATATTTATAGTTGCTCATCGAAGAATCGTTGCTCGTGGACACCGTTACACGCAAACACAAGGACAAATACTCCGCGTGAACCAAGTAAGTCATCACCACCTATACATGATAGTTTGAAATGAAATATGGAAGTCTAGCTACCTATGAATTGGATAGGTTTGCTTGAATGCTTGAATTTGTATGGTATGAGATTATGTGAATGCCCTGTTATGTGTATATATTTATAGGTGATGTTGATTGAGAACTTGTTGAGTTATCGATGTAAGGTATCCAAGTTCTATGGTTAATGTTAGGTTGGATTTATATGAACTCCAACCATGAATGAAAGTTGTGATGATAATGATATCAAATGAATGATAAGAAATGTTCTGAGGTAGCCGTTCCCCCAAGTATTCGCCTGAGCTGTACGGAGCGGGATCTCCTTCCGCGGGGAGTCTCGGGATTACTTCTGATGGCTGCGGGCTAGCTATCCAAGGTCATTAGCGAGGGGCCAGGATACGAGCTACGGGCCCATCAAGTCAAGTAATAAGATAAGAAGAAAGAATGATGGATGAGGAAATCTTTTAGATTTTGTTACATGATGTAGTGTTTTACATGATATGATATGTGTGTGAATATGCTATGTGTATGGAGTATTCAAGCTCATGTATCTAATTATGGCTAGCTAAGATTCTCTAAACGTTTTTAGTGGATAATATGGTGACTTACTAAGCATTATTGCTTACGAGACTTCTATTTTCTCGTATTCTCGTGTATAGGTAATGCACGAGGTACAGAAGCCTGAGAGAATGTTTGGAGCCGGTGACAAGGTTTTGGATGGGTTAACGGAGAAGATCGGGCTATCAATTATGTTGTGGTTTTAGTACGTTGGTACTTCAAAGGGTTGTTAAACGTTTTTAAAATCCTGATCAGGTGTAATGGTTTTACAATTGTTTTATGTGTTTTGTAGATCCGAGTTCTGAAATTAAGATATGATTATATAGTGCAATTTCATGTTACACTTATAAGAAATTTTATTTATTGGCTGAAACATTATATTCCAGTGCAAGTGCTAAAACATTTTATTTCAAACATCAACTCAAATTGAATCAACAAAATAATAACTATCACAAGCATTCCCTAGTGACACTTTTGACAAATAAATAAAATTATACTCCCTCCGTCCCACAATTAAGTTACCACTTTCCTTTTTGGGCAGTCCCTAAATTAAGTTCACACTTCCTTACTTTCCTTATTTGGCAAATTATCTATATCAAAACAATGTCAAACAGTGCAAAACAATGTCCAAACAACGTCAAACAATGTCAAAACAGTAAAATTTACCCCCGGTAAATTTATTTCCTTAATATGTGTGAAATTCTTCCCGTAACTTAATTGGGGGACGGAGGGAGTATGTGTGACACCGCACCCGAACTCCTGGAAATTCAAATTTAATTTCAAAGCTTATGTATTGAATTCTCCGATTTTCGAACAATTGTAAAACGATTAAAGTTTTACGGAACGTATGATTTATCATATTACTATTTTGGACTCATACAATGGTAACGGGCTTCTAAATAATTAATTGGGCCATATCATTGATATTGGGGCCCAACATCCTTAAATAAAGATATACAACCCATCGGTAAGAGCGGTCGGGCAGCCCAAATGTTATTTTGGGCCTAACCTGCTAAAAATAGTAATTATTCAAGAATGACACGGTTGGTAGCCTATATATATATATATATATATATATATATATATTAACATCATAAATGAATGATGGAATGATTGGAGAAGAATACAAATGCCTATGGTCTCATCTTTGGCATTATTAGGCTAAATAATGGGAGTAGGGTTTTCCTTTGTAATTGTACATCAAATAAATTATTGGGACCACCCTACACATATTAGAGACCAATAATATGAAGTAGGAGGTTGACTTGATCTGAATAAATTGGGAAGAGTACAAAAGTACATCTTATGACAAAGGACAAAAATGATAGGACACATCTTTCCACTCTTGGATGTATCGGTAGATATTTTGCTCCCAAATTAATTAGGGTACATGAGAGAATACAAATGCCTATGGTCTCATCTTTGGCATTATTAGGCTAAATAATGGGAGTAGGGTTTTCCTTTGTAATTGTACATCAAATAAATTATTAGGACCACCCTACACATATTAGAGACCAATAATATGAAGTAGGAGGTTGACTTGATC